TTGTTCTTCTAGATCAGCAGTTGACAATGTTTTGTCACTCCAGAGATAAATGCAAATAAAGAGAGGTTCAGATTTAAAGTTGACATGCCACACTGGCCCACAATGTTGTCTACTTATGTATTTAATGACACAAGTTCAAAGGCTAAAAAAGATTTGTTTTACAATCTCTGTCAAGAGGGATGAAAAATATCCCTAAATCCTTGTAGAGCTTGCGAAGAGGATCAATGTAGGCAGGCCATTGGCTTTTATGACATGGCAGATTTTTGGCCCCTTTTATACTTCATTCTCTCTCAACCTCCTCTCTCTCCTGGGGCATTTATGTGGGTGAGAGAGGAATGAATCACAGTAGAAGTAGTGAAGAAATAACTTTTCATGTGAAAACACCTCAGCTTTTATGGCTTTACTAAATGATCCATAATGCGGGCGGAGAGCACTCGGTCCTGCAGATTAAGGCGGGCCGTATCGAGAAGGAGGCTCGGTGCTGCAGCCGTTAGACCCCCCCACCCCGCACACACTGAAGCTCGCACCAGTACGGCACTAGCTGAGATAGGCACAAATCTCTTTTACGAGGCTGCCTCTTAAATAGCTGTCAGTCTAGTGTCTCACACGTGGTGCACTTCTCTAGCTCCCCTTGCAGTAATTGAACCATCTCTCCTAGAGTGCTGAAATGGTGTGGGATGCCATTCCAACAGCCTGTGTTGATACCATTAAACCAAACTCATGCATAAATCTAACTATAAAGCCATCGTCACGCACCCTCCACCGAATCCTCTACGCCCCAAAAACAACCCTATTCCTTACTCCATTTCACCACAGATGGGTTACTTTCATCTGAATATTATTTACATTATCCTTCAGGGAAATTGTACAGTGCTTAAGTATCATCTGCAGCACAGACTGTATAATATGTTGTTATTTTGGAATCTTCTTGACTTCCTTCATGTTCTTTCCACCATGACAATGTTACCACATTGTCAGAAGTTTCATGTGCTCCAGTAAGAAACAGACTACACCAGAAAGGAATAACTTCTAACCAGGTTATTTGCTTTTCTTAATTAGCTGTTAATTTCACATACCTGGTGGGATATTAGTGCCTTAAGAGGAGTTATTATATTGTAACAATAGAATTATAGTAATATTACTATTAAATAGAAGTGGTAAATAGTGTTAAATAACAGCTTCCATTCAATGCCAGTTATGTCTGAGGCATTTTGCTCTGCTAGAGGATTAAGTGAATAACAAATCCATATCCTCATTATAGTTGCACAGCCATGAGATTGTTGTAACCCTGTCTAGTCACTGGGAGAAACACTGCTAAACAGTGTTGCTCACATGAATATTAGGGAAAATGCAAAATTATAATTTTCTGATCTCATTATTATACAGAAAATCAGTTGTGTTAGATTTGAAAATTATCATATGAAAATGCATAATGTACAATGCTAACTTTTCTCTTTTGGTGTGATTTAAATGATGAGACTAAGAATGTAAATATCTGCAGCCTACATAAATTAGCTTCATTCTAAGTAAAGGCACTAAAGGCATGAGTAAGTGAGGTGACTAAATGTTTATTTGTTCAGCAAGTGTCAAAATGTGGCTCAGACTTCTGACAGAATTATGGACATAGTATGTGTATAAAGATTTACTTAATCGAGCTGAAAATGATTGTTTCACTGATCTCTTCTTGTTGACAGTAGCATTTTTGACCTCGCCTGATTGGGTGTGTTCAGAAATGTTTTTGCTTTATTGCACCTGGAAGAACAGTCAACAGTCAGGGTGTCAGGGTTTACTATAGTAACAACACAATGCAAGGTGAGAACACCAACCACTGGGTGTTATAAATAATTGATTTTTAATTGTTAAACTACTGTTTAAGTTAAAAAAAAACCTGAAGCAATAACACAAGGTATTATTGACTACTTTATTCAATTTCATCTGTGGTGTTATTTCATGGATATGTGACTAATTTGATGTAGTAACGTTTTGTTGTGTTTAACCAAACAAACTCAGCCCAAACAAATGTGCCCATAAGGGGGAATAAACACAGACAAACCTGTATATTTTGGTAATTAAAATTATTATTGCTACAGTGCATGCTGTCTCGTCTGAGAGCAATTTGTGATTGAAGTTTTAGTTTGTGAGAGAAAAACACAACTCTTTAGCTAATGAATATCTGGAGCTTTTCTCCATTAGACATACTTCTACTATTACTGCCATATGCATTACATTTGAATCTGAGAAAGTCAATAATTTTTAATGAATTTCCACCAGTCCATCAACAGCAGACTCTGCTTAAGTGAGATGCCAACCATGCCAACATATACTGTAAGTAACGACTGCTTCTACTGAAAACACTGATGCAAGCCAGAACTTTAATAAGATTCCAAGCGCAAAAACTCACTGCTTCGCTTCTCTTTTTAATATAAACACAATAAAGACCCATTTGCATTTATATGGTTCTTCCAAGCCATCTGACGTTGCTGCCAGCCAGTACCCAGAAACAGCTGAGCATCAAACTGATTGTTACCTGGGGAAAATTAAGATAAGGAAGTAATCCCATGGATGAAAATGGCTTTGTTGGACCCACAGCAGTAGGGCCAACCAGGTAGACAGAATTAACAGACCCCTGCCTATTGCCAGTAATGAAAATACCTAGCCTCTATAAATCCTTATGTTTTCAATATGATAAGAATGATATCTTACTCATCCCCCAACTGGGATGCAGCATATCTTGATTTTCTAAGAATCAGGCTGGTGTGTACTGTTGCATATTTGGATGAGGTAATGACTGTATGATACGAATATGAATTAAAAGCTCATTCCATCCTAGTTAATATGCACTGCTTTAAATCCACTGTGATCTGCGTATATATCCGGATTTAACTGAGAACCCACGCAAGGTTGTTGACAGTACCAGAATTAATGATTCTTTGGTGTTGCACATACTGGTGATGCACTGATCCATTCATCTACCCATCTGTTTTTATGTGTTCACACCAGAGATGCTAGAGTCCAAGTCAAGTCTCAAGTCTCTGAGCAAGAGTCCAAGTCAAGTCTCAAGTCACTCGTGGTTAAAATGAGTGTTGTATCACATGCTGCGTTCAATCCAGGCTGCTTATGAAACTGCTTAGCTAACTAAATAAAACTTTAACGTCACATGGTCAACAATAAACCTGTAACCTGTTTTTACCAGAGCACAACCATGTAATGTGCAATGCAATTAATGACAGCTTAAACTACTGTAAGTCAACACTTCCCCCAGACTCTCAAACCCAGTGTGACATTATAACTAAATAAAACTGTAACGTTACATGATTAAACAATAAACCTGTAACCTGGTTGCAGCCACCATTAATAATTAATGTAATGGCAGCCAGTGTGACGTAAATGATTACGTTAATCGACCACCACAAGTTTGGCAAGTAAATAAACACTCATTCATCTTTTCATAACGAACGACAGTCGTACCTAACCTCTGAAGTCTTTGAGGACAAGTCTGAAGTCAAGTCTCAAGTCACTGGTTGTGCGACTTAAGTTGGACTTGCATCTGAGTCTCAAACTCAAGTCACCATCTCTGGTTTACACCAATTGCTTATGAGGCTATTTTACCTTTCAGCTAATTTGTTACTTTGCCGCGAAATTCAGTATAGCTGCAACATAGCATAAAATAATTTCGCAAGTATCATAGACCAGGTAGAGTGCTGCATCATGCGCTACCTATACGCGTTAGCATTCAAACCGGCCAGCTCCAATCTACATACAGGGAGGAACAGAAGCTATAGTTGACAGCAACAGGATAGTGATCTGAGCTGTCTGATTTAATGGCCGGGTGACTTTAATGATTGTTCCCCCCCCCCCCCCCCCCCCCCCCCTTTAGGACTGCTGATGGATGACAGGAAACAAACAGTGCTCTGACACTTCCCACTAATTAGCATCATTAGCATACGACCATTATGTGGCTGGACAGTAGCATGACAGGGCTCTGAGAAAGGCTGCAGCGATGACCTTTGGTGGACAACACCAGCTGTCAGTAATTACCCATAGCATTGTCCAGAGGGATAAAGACAAAGACTGACTCCTTGTCCTTGAGGACCTATATGCGCCTAGGAACGTCTCCCTTTCCTTTTCCTGTAAATGAAATTATTTATAGAAAGAAAGAAAAAATATAAATATATGCTCACATGCTAAAAGACAAGCATTTGGTTGTTTCTTAACCTAAAAATGAAGAACCTTAAAGTTTTAGAGGCTTTAGGCTGAGCTTTAACTAAACTGTGTGACTAAATAGAGAAATGCGCCATGCTGACAGAGGCTTGTGTATGCACACTGTTGACAAATATACTACACTGAGTGGGAAATAATAACTTAAACAATGTTGCTCCACAAATACAAATTTTAAGGTTTCATTTAGAAATAACTATTCTCTGCCTAAGTGCCAGTAATCATGAGTAATTGTTTGTTGTAGATTTCCTGAGCTTCTAACAGCCTTTGAAGATATGATGTTGACTTTATGACTCCATGTTTCCTTTCATCTCTGAGCACAACTTCTGTGCCAATGAGAGGCAAAACAACTCCGAGCACTGGTGTAGTGAAAAGGTAATTTGAAACATCAAAAAATTTGTTGGGAAAATTATGTGCATAGAAATGAAATAAGTACCTGGTGCTGTGATACACAAATGCATTAACCTCCCTCCACCAAGTATAATCACAGCAAAACGTACACAGGTGTGTACACAAATAGATTTCCTACTTTTGAACAAATGTCCACACTCTCAAGGTCTGAAACTCATATTGGTCCTCATAAATATAGAGGTACCAGTGTTTTACACACATACAAGCAAAGAAAACACTCATATCCCTACATCTGCCATTCTTCTACATTATACACTAGCTTAACTCAATTCTAGCACTTGTCCAAAGTTTTCCAATTGGCCTTCTGGCTCAAAATTTTTTATTCCCTTTTTTGAGATTATGTTGTTGATTATTATGTCTCTTTTCAACAGGAACATCCGTTATGAAGGTTACTGCATCAGATGCTGATGACCCTACATACGGCAGCAGTGCCAGAGTGGTGTACAGCGTACTGGATGGAGAAAAGTTTTTCACTGTTGACAGACACACAGGTAAGAATGATAAAGACCACACATTCAGCACTCCCTACACCTGCTTTTTATTTTTTTCTGGTAAGGTTTTCTTGTGCTCCTTCATACCTTAAGCAATTTCAGCCCAGGGACTATAATTCCCAGATCAATCAAAATTTGTGGCCAAAAACGTAAAATCAATTGGCCAACAATAAGCCACTTTATAAATTTTTAGCCAATAACTACTGGCTTCTTGTAGCAAACACTCAAAATACCATGTGGCATAAATTGTTTGGCTCAACAGTTTTTAGTGGTGCCACATTTACAGTGATGTGCACAGACATTTTGGGGGATTTCTCACAAATATTTATTAATTTATAATATTTTTTTACAACAAAATGTTAAAAATAATAACACAACTTTGAATTCCTAACCAATTTATTTTAGTTCCCTCACACTCATGCAATTGTTTCATTCTCATCAGAGTTCTACAAAATAATCAGTTCATGTCACGGTCTTCTTCAGTTTTCACTAGGTTTATCACAAGAGCAGGCAACAGCAAAGAAATCTATGCCACAATGTGCATGTTATCTATGCTACTAGTTTCAAGTATATTAAATGACCGCACCAAGGAGGGGGACATTAATTGTTTAAATACTTTTTGTTTCACTTGCGAGATAACATTCAGCTTCCCACAGCCAAGCAACAAAACACTGAATTGCCTCAATACATTAAAGTATTAATCAAATACATTACTATCATTATTAATATTTTACTATTGATAGTAACCATGGCATGGCTTCTGTGCGCTACACAGCTGTAGCCTATTTAACTTAAGTTAAAATTATAGGCTACATAACTTTACCTGATAGGCCTTCATCTAGTTTTGCGGGGATGCTCTGCCATGCGAATTCCTTCCTGTTGATGTCCTATTTAGGAAACAGTAATAGATTCTGGAAACTCAAAAAGCGAGGATCAGTCTCTCTTCAAATGATTTGTGCTGCGCATTGCGTGCAAAAAGTTCAAGACAATTCAACTTCGGCAGCAGGCGGGCATGTACGTGAGGCGAGCACTTCACCTCACTCTAACAGAGGCACTTGCTACTGAACATAGACTGTTTATGCTGCTCCCTGATAAAAGAAAAATGTTTCTGCTGATACCTGTTCAGAAAAAAACAACAAGAAAACAGATTTATATATGTTAACCTGCTGCACAGAAGGTGCCTGTTATGATGTTATATTTGTGACTCTGGACTCTTAACTTGTCTTAACAAGCTTAGATAAAAGGTAATGCCTTGGCAGTGGCAAATAGCTTTGGTTTTATATTTGATTTGATTACATTAATGTTTAAGTTGATATTTACAAAATTTTTTATTGCTACTGTGTAAGGGGAATACTGCTGGTAAAAAATACATAATTTGTTTAGTGATTGCAAACCACATGTTATTACATTTTGTGTAAATAGCAGTACATTTAAATTAAAAGTGGGAAATACACTGCTTTAGAATTCATTATTATAAAAAAAGAAACGAACGAAAAGGGCAGGTTCTCAAGTCCCTTTTGATGTCTATGTGTACATGTGCCTGCACATTTAAAACTAACCCTGAAGAACTTATTTTCTATAACAAGTAAGAAACAGTCAACGTAATCATAGCACATATTATAATTACATGTATTTTTCCTAACTGGCTTTATTGTTCCCACCAGTGTAATTGATTTTTTAGACTCTGCTGGTGTACATCAGACAAATGCACTGGTTGTTTAGCACAGCACAGCATATCCGCTACCCCAGCTATCCCTATTCCCCATCTGAGGCTGGTAGAAATGACATGGCCTGACCCACAGTCTCTCAAAAGTAGCTTAACATTGGTGTTGCCTTCGAATGCCTCTCCAGGGAAAAACATTAAAGTTTTAATGATTCCTTTTTTGGTCTCCACCACTTTGATTTGGTCAGCCTGGGAGTGTGGATGATAAATGGCTCTACCTTGGTGGGACTAGCCAGGAGACTGGATGGTTCATTCCAGCTTCTGTCTCACAACCCCAATTCCACCCACTCCTTTTCCCCATTTTGTAGGCAGACAGGCCAGCCTAATAGGTGCGAGTCAAGAAGGTCAAAATGAAGAGGAGACAGAACAGCTGTAAAATCTGCCTCATTAATATCACTCTCGCTCATCTTGACAACAAACTCAACAGCAAGTCACTGTGTTGTGTCTGTCTTTTTGACCATGCTGAAATTGTCTGTAGGTGTTTTTGTATTTGAAAGTAGATCATGATTTCATTGTTACATAGAAAAATACAAAACTATAATTTTAACATGCTCCTCCTAAAACATAATCATTTTTACACATATTTTAAATCCTATTTTGCTATTGATATTATTATATCACTGTTATAATTAAACAATAGACAAAAACATAAATATACACCTACATATTTAATTCAGGAATACAGCAGTTGACTTTACTTCAGTGGTTTATGAAAAATGTATTGAGATAAAAATCCATCTGTGATCTACAATAACCTTAGGTTAATGTAAAGAGATTTGATTCACAATATTTTAATAAATCTGAAAGAAATTAAATATTACAAAATAATGAATATACTTGATGGCAATATCCATCACACACAATATGCATTGCAGTAAACAGCGACATAGAGTCTGCATTTAGAGCCTCTGAATGCATTTTGTGCCAGTGTGTGTTCCCACATGCACCGACTAAAACCTCTGCAGTTATATTAATGCAGCTTCTAAGTGCTGTGTACTTCTCGAAATGGGAGAACAGTTGTGAAGACGTGCGTTGTTCCATGTTTATGACTGGCTTTTTGGTCCGCGCTAACACTGAGCCAATTATTCTCTCTTCTGCCTCCTCCCAAAGCACACGGGCGACAATGGAAGCTTCTATATATTTCAAGCAAAAAGAACAACAAACAAGTACAAAAAAAATCACAACACGGGTTCTGTATTTGAATGCAGTGGTTGAAGTCTAGACATAGAGATGTGTGTTTCCTGGTTATGTTAACAGCAACAGCACCTCCCATGAAACACACACAGTGGCAGAGGAAATGGCACTAGAGTGGAGTAGGTGCAAAAGGCAAGCTGATAACTTAGCCTGGCAAAACTACTTCTTTTCAACTCTTATACTAGCCATGGAGGCCAATTGATAGCTTGTTTCGTAGGGACACAGTAGAATTACAGTAGATTTCCATTTCCATTGCCCAGCGAGATGAAAAGAGAAATGCAATTGATGTGAGTAAAAAAAATGATTTGAACATCATTTATTTTAGATTAATGCATATAATGCATTACCATGCTGAGAAACTACTTCACAGTTGGTGTACATGGCCCTATTGCTCAGTTAAATTGCTTAATGTTAAGGCTACGTGATATGCATTGGAATATGGACCACTTAACTGACTGCATTCATAAAAATATAACAATGTGGACTCATCTACATATGGTCTTTACCATGATGTTGGATACGGTATACTTGTTGCAGAGTGGGACTTCACTTTTGACAGGCCTAATTTAGATGCATCCCCTCTGGCTTTTAGTTGATGAAAGAGGAGCATGTTATCTGTCTCCCCCTTAACTCCATGCATGTACTGTATTTTGGCTAGTCAAAAAATGGCTCAGGGCTAATGTGACTGGAATCAGTGAGTTGTGTACCCAACAATGCAAACCTTTGGGAGTGAGACAGCACACTAAGCCCAGGAAATGCATCAATAAATTCTGATGTGGAAAATCCCAAGGGGTAAAGTGGAATTACATTACTACTGCAGCCAGCTGCTAATGTTGCTGCCGCTGGACTAATAAGGAAGTGATGCACCAACCAAGAAGGACCATGTGCTAGATTGTGAGAGTGTATGTGAAACAAAAAAAGAGAGACCAAACTCTTAGCTCTTCAAGGTACCAAATATCAAGCATAGCGTTGGTTCAGGCAGGCAACAAGTCAAGCTCCTCTCGCAATCCCAGCACATCAGCTAACAGCTCAGCTGATTACTCTCCTAGCATTCATTGCGTGCTTCTCAAGTCTCTTAATTGCATCCACGTTTCCCTCACTTGCGTCTTTTGCATCTTAGTCCCACCCACCGGGGATGCTTGGAAGGAAGAGACGCAAGGAAACCAAGCCAGGAGAGAAGGAAGGAGGAAATATGTTTTTAGAGACATGAGATGTCCTTTCCTCTGAAGCGTCACTTGAAGCGACATCCATTGCAGCTGAATCAGCTTTCAGTCGGCTCTAACAGCTGTGGAGACTTTTGATGGAGTTTTTGTCTGTACATGTGCACTGTGTTGATACTAATAAAGTCTTACCTGTTACCTGTTTAACAAACACCTGCACAAGATTTTTATAGGTTGCTATATGTCCTGCTCAAAGGCACAGGATAATTTCTACTGGCACAATGCTTATATTATCTGCATTTATATTTATTGATTCTGATTCTGAATTCGTTATTGGATAATCCAGAATATGATCATGGTGTCTTTCGATTTATTAGGCTAAATGTTTCAGGGAAATTTAAATGATGTAACTCATATCAAAAGTGCAGCTCAGTTTTAGGCTTTCTGTTATTTCCTTTAACACTACTGCATACATTTTATTTGCAAGTCACATCGCTCGTCACCGATCGATCACTGCATTCCATAATATCAATCCAACGATTTTTTTTAGCGCAGCAGCGCTTTCATTCATTCTTTCATCAGCTGATTTTATTCGGGGAGCCGCTGGCTGCTTTCATTAGATGCAGTAGGTGAGATCAGCTGGATGTGCAGGCTTTATTTTCCTTTGCTTGCTTCATTAGAGACTTTAGCTATTTACAGAAGCCCAACAGTTCCCACCAAGAGCAAGCACTAGGCGACAGAGGCAAGGAAAAACTTCCTTTTAAGAGGCAGAAACCTCGAACAGAACCATGGCTCAGGGTGGGCGGCCATCTGGCTCGACCGGTCGGGGTGAAGGAGAGAGAGGGAGAGAGAGGGAGGGGGGGGGGGGGGGGGGAGCGAGAGAGAGAGAGAGGGCAGGAGAGGAACAGAGAGAAAAAGAGAGGGATGGAAGGAGAGAGTAGGGAAGGAAGCCTACACAATATACACACACAGAGGTACAGACAGTAAAGGTGATGTTGTATACATGTATACACTAAGTGAAAAATGGTACAGATATTTATAGTAGTGTTAATGAAAACAATCGTAATGTTAATGAATATAATAACAATAATAACAATAGGACTAGTAACAGTAGTTGTTGTGTCGAGCAGGAACACGGGGGCAGCAGGTGACCCGCAGCCACAGATCCAGACACCACAGCTCCAGAGCCAGAAAACCTGCAGGAAGTGATAGGAGGAGAGAGGAGAGGGACGAGAAAGCACAAGACTACCGGAAAGGGGAGAAGTTGTGTTAGTAAGTGCAATAATGGGATGAGGTTGCATACAGAGGGAGAGAAAGTAGAGGAGAGAGGATCTCATCATAGGAAATCCCCCGGCAGTCTAGGCCTATAGCAGCATAACTAAGGGATGGTTCAGGACTCACCTGAGCCAGCCCTAACTATAAGCTTTATCAAAGAGGAAAGTCTTCAGCCTACTCTTAAATGTGGAGATGGTGTCTGCCTCCTGAACCCAAACTGGAACCTGGTTCCACAGGAGAGGAGCTTGATAGCTGAACGCTCTGGCTCCTAGTCTACTTTTGGAGACTCTAGGAACCGCAAGTAACCCTGCATTCTGGGAGCGCAGTGCTCTGGTGGGGTAGTAGTACTGTGAGCTCTTTAAGATAAGATGGTGCCTGACCATTAAGAGCTTTGTAGGTAAGAAGAATGATTTTAAATTCTATTCTGGATTTTACTGGAAGCCAATGCAGAGAAGCTAAGACAGGAGAAATGTGATCTCTTTTCCTGGTCCCTGTCAGAACACGTGCTGCAGCATTGTGGATCAGCTGAAGAGTCTTAATGGACTTTTTCAAGCAGCCTGATAATAAGGAATTGCAGTAATCCAGCCTAGAAGTAACAAATGCATGGACTAGTTTTTCTGCATTATTTTTAGACAGGATTTATCTGAGTTTAACATTAGAAAATTACAGGTCATCCAGATTTTAACATCCTGAAGGCACATTTGAAGTTTAGCTAACTGATGAGTTTCATCTGGTTTGATCGATAGATATAAGTAACAGCTATGTAGCTATCGTAGAGTTACCTTCACTTCACTTTTACTATTACTATTATTATTACTTCACCGTCTCCATCATGGCTATCTCTGCGCTGGCTGCTGTGTGTGCGTGTGCGCCTGCATGTGTGTGTTCGTGTTCAAGAGCCAACACAGAGCAGGAGAAGCTGCAGCCTGGTAATGAACACCATGGTTTTCAGCCCCGGGTCCATTTAACACTGCGTTTCAGTGCCCATCTAGTATCTAAATAATCATGTAAGTAGGCATATGCCTGCTCTGTTCTGTACTGGGGTTCTTTACTGCTGTTCTCTGCCTCGGGCTTTCCATGTATGCATGGATGGGCAGGGAGGTGTTCTCCCTTCCTTATGGCTTTTCCACGTATGCACGTGGAAGGGCTGAGAGTTGTGCTATGGCTTTCCCTGACGCATGTGAAAGGGCAGGGAGATCCCAGAACAGACCAAACATAACTATAATGCTGCAAATATCAGTTCTTTGATGAAAGTTGTCCTGATTGAAATAGTTTTTATGTAACTTCACAAAGGGAATGTCATATACTCTCACCCTAATATCGGCATGGGATGAATTAACATCTAACATAAACCTTTACTACCACTGGTCTGGTTTGTCATTGTTACTACAATGGTTTGTCAGTTGTTTGTTGTCATGCTGATCATGTGTCGAAATTAGGGAGTTTTACATGTTATAATAGTTCATTAAAAATAGCATGGCTTAACTCAGTCAACAGCCTGTTTTTAACTGAACACTGACCTGAATGTGCACATCAGAGCCATTGAAGTCCCTTACTCAATTTCTACATTATATCACTTTCTCTATGCCCCTCGCTTGCTCTTTTGAAATCCACTTCTCAGGTTTGATTGCAGTCTTACCCATCATGGAAAAGTTGTAATGCTGTTCTGGGTGGCTGAAGTATGCCTTCATTCTGGCCCTATATATTATTCATTTTAGTACAGCTGAACCATAAAATGGTGTATGCGCAGAGGAGCAAATATGACACAATCTCTTCCATCCAGCCAGTAGTGGTGGTGGCGAAATGGAATGCGCTGCACTTGTGTCTCCATAATACTGTGCTTAGGAGAAGTTGATATTCAAACTGAGAGGGGAAATATAGTTGGTTATTGCATAAGTGCTAAACACTAACGTAACCTTTCCATTGGCCTCACTTACTACTCCTACTCTTCCCCACTCTCTATCACTCTCTCTATCCCTATGTCTCTCTCCCTCAATCTCTCCTCTATCCCTCAATCATTAGGGATCATCATGACAGCAGTGGCAGATTTGGACCGTGAGACGCAGGATCGTTACGAGTTGGTCGTCAAGGCAACAGACATGGCAGGACAAATGGGCGGTCTCTCAGGCTCCACCACGGTGACCATAGTGATCACAGACGTTAATGACAACCCACCGCGCTTCCCACAGAGTGAGTATCTTACTTTAGACAGAGGAGGAGATGCTGAGGAGGAGAGGGGGGAAGCGGCAGAGAGAAACGAGTCAGAATTCAGAGAGGAAGGAAACATAATGAGGTGAAAGTCAAGACACAAAAACACTAAAAAGATGATATAAGACACACAGTGTAGATTGAAACATGCACCAATAAGCAATGGCAGCATCAGTTTTATAGGCCAATCAAACCTTCAGCCCATAAAAAAGTAGTTTATCAAATGTGGAGAATTGATGCGTTCCACTGCATGTTTGATCATTCTTTTTAAGATCAGAATCAATACGGCTGATTGTTCCCTCATTGAAATGTTATGGATTTATGATGGTGAGGTGGTTTTGGGGCTAAATGGCTCAGGTTCAGTGCACACATGCGCAACAGGTAGAGGTAAAAATATTTAGCTAAAAATGCAGTTTATCTCACCTCACCACACACAATAACACTTAATTCAGTAGAAAGATAGCCTTCTTTGAAGCAAACAAAGAAACAAATTTATTTTTGACATATTGCACCAACAGGAGTACATGTAACACAAAAGTGAGTGTATTTAAGGCTTCATACATTTTTCAAAGTCATATCACGAGCACCTAATATGGTGTTCTTTCCAATTACAGACATATTAACGCGCCATATGCTCCTTCTAACTGAGTAATAATTAGTTTTATGAAACAATTATACTTCCCCTTCTTGCCATTTTGCCTTCTTTTTTTGGAGTTAAACCATAACAGTATTACATTTGTTACAGCTGGAGGAACAGCATCTGACAGCCTGGTTGATTGTATTTGATATGTCTCCACACACCTTTTATTTCTGTATAAATCCTTTTTTTCATCTCAGTAAATCATATTTACCCAGTCAGAGGGATAAATCCTGCAGGACTGGAGTGTCTCCACTGTATGACATAGGGAATAGATAGAGTTTGGAAAGCAGCTTTATAAATAAGATGCAAAGCAAGATGACATACTGTATATGTAAGTAATTTGATGTTTTTACATAATTTCCCTCTCGGGAACAGTAAAGTTTTATCTTCTTACTTTTTATCTTCTCGGTAATGAACTCTGGCAGACCATTTCTTTAGTCTTTTCTGTCATTTTCAATATAACTTAGCCTTAATTGCATATTTTATCCATCTATTTACCGTACATTGTAACAGTAATATCATGTAAATTCAATGTCACTTCTAAGGGAAATAAGTAGGGCTAGTGTCAACTGTCAACCTAGTACTAACAAACATTGATTTATTCAGATGGAGGAAAATCGTTGTGTATGGACAAAAGATACATTATTTTGTACACTCCCTTTTATGTGCACACAATGACACTGAAAATATTTTCTTGAAGTCTGTATATGTTGCTGTTCTTTCATTATAATCTTGTCCCGTAATTTTTCCAAGACCTTTCTCTTCCTCTGTTCACCTTCTTTATCTTTGTTACTCTCCCACCCATTCCTCCTCCCACTTTTCTGTTTCTGCTGCCTATCCATCTCTTCGACCAATATCGTCACTTCGCACCTTCCCTTTTCCACCTATGGCCATCCATCTTTCCTCATTCTCCTTCCATCACTGGTATTTTTCCTCTTCTTCTCCATGTTACCTGTCTCTCATCCTTCTTCTTTTGTGGTGTTTTCTATACCTACAAATGTTTTTTGTCACTCCATCCCTCTGCTGCTTTGCTAAACCTAACTCTACTTGTTTTTTCTGTCCATCTGTCCACCTCTGACCCCCTCTCCATATGCCAGAGATGTACCAGTTCTCGGTGTCAGAGGGGGTGGCTGTGGGGACACCAGTTGGACGCGTCATTGCTACGGATGCAGACATGGGAGAGAACACAGATATGAGCTATCTGATCAAAGAGGGTGGGGAGCTCTTCAAGGTCTCTACTGATGTTGAGACACAGGAAGCTATAGTCTCCATCAAGAAGGTAATATAAACTTAAAGGAATGCTGTGAATGTTGTCTGTTATACCACTATTGATTTTTTTTACCAGTATACCAGCAGAAGCGCACAAACACAACATTTGGTTCAGTCCTTCTTTCCACAGCATGACACCAACGAGCTAAAGTTTATTTTCTACTTGTGTATAAATGTAAAAACACATTTTTGAGTGCATGATTGGGATTCTGTTGGCTAGAAATCAACAAGAGACTGGGCCTTTGCTGATTAGCATTCAACAAAAACTGTTATGGTTTCTTTTGGTAAAGTTAATATTGTTTGTGTCAAGCAGCTAGTCAGTAAGCTGAACAGCTCTTTGGCGCTGTTCAGACAGAGAAATTCAAGCTGCACTAAAGAGAAAGAGAGATCATTGGTCTTTGATGATTGATGATCATCGGTTGCCCACTGGGGTTTGACAAATCCTGTCAGTGCAGTGTCGCTGCAAAAGGTGAACTGTTTTCAACTTATTTTCACCTTGCACTCTGTGACAAAAAAAGAGAAAATAAATGTAGTATCTTTTCATGGACATACACAGATTTCAAAAGTGTTTCTCTTAAGTGACACACTGCTATTGTGAATGGGCCCTAATTGCAGATTGAAGATGTGACATTCAGCCATTAGCAGTGCTGTAGTTCAATGGAATGTCAACAATGGCATGCTTAATCACTCTAGCTACCACTGGTGACGTTGTGGTTAGCTGATGCTGCAGACACAACAATAACATGATAGAAACCATAAACTCGAACAAGAAGAGATACATGTACGCCGATGCATTGGCTCAGGCTGGAATCATTACTGCAACAGTCTATTATCATTCATCAGCAGTGGTGGATAAAGTATTCAGATCCTTTACTTAAGTAAAAGTACTAATACCACACTGTGGTAAAGTACTTTGTTACAAGTAAAATGTCTGCATTGAAAATGTTACTTAAGTAAATGGATGTAAGTATGATCAGGAAAATGTACTTAATGTATTAAAAGTAAAAGTACTCAATGCAGAAATTATACTATGCTATTATACTATTCATCATGAGATTATTGTTACTCATGCATTCATGTAAAGCAGGACTTTACTGTTGAAATTAGCTGGGGTAAAGCTCATTCTGAACTATTTTGTATTGACTGCAACTAACAATTAATGAATTCATCTGCTGATTATTTTCTCCATTGTTTTCTCCATTTGTCTGTAAGCTTAATTTGTAAAGTAACTACTAAAGCTGTTAGATAAATGTAAATGTGAAGTAAAAAGTACAATATTTCTCTTTGACATGTAGTGGAGTAGAAGCAGAAAGTAGCATGAAAAGAAAATACTCAAGTAAAGCAGACCTCAAATTTGTACTTAAGTAAAATACTTGAGTAAATGTACTTAGTTACTGTCCACCACTGTTCATCAGTATTGTCGCAAAACAGCTTCTGGCCATCAGTCAGTTGTGTAATGAAACTGCTCTTGAAACAGAATAAAACAGAATCTTGTTTTTATTTCAGTCGTTGGACTTCGAGACCAAACGCACACACAATGTTGTGGTGGAGGCAATCAATAAGCATGTTGACCCTCGCTTCGTGGACCTCGGGTCCTTCCGAGACCAGACCATTGTCCGAGTCAGTGTGTCAGACATAGATGAGCCACCCATCTTTCAGCCAGCAGAAGGCGCTATCATGGAAGTGCGGGAGGATGCCAAAGTAGGAGCGGAGGTTGGCGTCATCACTGCCAGGGATCCAGATGTGAAGAATAAACCTGTCAGGTACAACAAGAGATCTAACACCAACTTCCCCAAAAGAAAAATGCATCATACTGTTGAAAATGGTAGAATGCATATCAGACTTAAAGCTACTTGTTGTATCCGAAAAAAGGTTATGGCTAACTTTTACTCACGAGTTGCATGTAAACTGTTGCATAGTGAGATGAAGGTTACTTGGGTCTCTGATGGTTTTTATTATCATAAACCCTGATTGGTGTACTGTCCATGGTTAATATAGGACAATGTGTTTACACAATCATGGTCCACACTGAAAGAGATTTGGTGTAGATGCATGATTTGATTAATAATATTACATTTGCTATAAATGAAAATGTGTTGGTGGAGTTAAAAATGTGGCATAAAAAAAGTAATGAAAATGTAGAGAAAAGATTAAAACAGCGCTTAGATACTGTAGGTACGCAACTACTTTTTCGCACCAGTTGGCAGCCTGATAAAATATATCAACCAAAACATTTGCAATGAAACATTGCTGTGCAAAGATTACTGCTAAATATGATAAGCAGCATAACAAAGCAAAGTTTTGCATAGCAATGAGTACCTCAATTTTATGTGGCTTAGATGGGACACTAGCATTGTAATGTGGGCAGCCATTCCACAAGCCCACTATCATGCACTCACTACATCCTGCGTCAACTGTATATTACTTGTAGATACATTTTATTAGAACAAAATCTGTACTATGAAAAATGTGGTTTTAAAGAACTATAACTCACTCGCTGCAACAGATACATTGGTAGCTGATGGGCTTAAGGACAAAATCTTTTTTTTCTTCTTACAATTCCTCTTGACTATGGAGTGAAAGCCCAAGATAACAGTGAATGGTGGGACTTGTACAATGGATGAAGCTGTATTTTTTCTCTCAGATCACTGTGCATGATAAAAACAATATCATTTGGTAATCTTCTGTACCAAGGTCTGTGGTTTATGTCCTCAGAAGAGCAATTGCAGTGTGAGAGGGGAATGTAGATAAGGGCTAAGACAGTCTCACTGACAGAGTATACACTGACACACGCAGTGCCTGTGCAAATTACCTCGATTAAAAATGCATGAGGCTCAGAGTTCCAGGTGTAATAAAGTACAACACAATGGCAGCACTGTCGTTCACCAGCGTCTTGGCAGCCTGGAGCTGAAAGTGTGCGCTGTGTGTGCAAGCATATTTGAGTGTGTGTTTTCATGCGTGTGCATGTGTGTGTGCATGATAAGTGAATGAGTGAGTGAATAAAAGGGAGGGAGAGAGGTTGGCCAGGAGCCACCTATTGGGCAAAGTTAGCGAGCTCACGGCCTCTGGCATTAGGCAACACACCCTCTGGCATTAGGCAACACACCCTCTTTGAACTCTGCATAATCGCGTATCCTTAGTGATGAGGTTGTAGTGCAAAATATGCAAGCACTGTGGATCTGATCAGCAAAACCACCTTTCATTGATGAGAGATTCATTCTGCTACAATAGAAAAACAAGCTGCAAGGAGTGGTTTCATCACTACTCATGCGACAACTAAAACAAATAAAGTCTGGCAAGGAGTCAACCAGGTTATCAAACAACTGGCAGACTACTTAGATGCAATTAAAAACTCTAAATATGCTTTTAGATACAAAACAAACCAAATAAAACAATTATTGCCTATAATAATTGGGATGCGGAAGTTTGTGTTTTGTAATGCAGACAAATTGGTTTGGACAGGAAGGGGTTTTGGATTCTGATGGTGTTTATGTGCAAAGGGATTGATAAGATTGCTAAAACTAGGGCGATGATGTCTCCCCACTCCATCCCACAAAAACTGACATGTACTCGAAACCAAAGGTTATTTTTTGTTGTGTTCTTTTGAATAATAATCATGGTACGTGTGTGGGGAGACTAAGACGGACAAAAACAATTCAGAGGTTCTTATTTATTTTGGACTATCTTGCTGTCAAATCTGTCATCTGAATCCAATTTCTAAGAAACAAAGAAAGATGCAATGATACATTGTGCAGCACTATTTGAGGTATGGTAAAGGGGGGAGAAATCCAATCAATCAAATGTTTGTACTGCAAATGTCAATGGCAGGTGTGTATCCTGCCAAATCTAATCACTGCATAGATGTAACAGGGCTGTACAGTGACAGATACATAAAAGCACATACACATACATGTAGGCCGTACGATTGTCTGCGTGGTAGTGTGTAACTTCAATTCAGTATCTTAAACACTGAGTGGTTCACCGCCATGGTATCGTGAATTAAGTACACACGCAAAAGCAATTCTACACCCACCACAGTTTTATGAATTAATCCATGATGAGAAACCATTTTAATCCATTTGTTGTTCTTTATATCACATCAGTTATATAGCATATACTTCTCTTCTTTTGACATTATGTTTTATATCTACAACAAGTAACCATCATTCTCATGGGACCTGGGAAAATGATATTATAATGCCCATACTACTTTATAAGGGTTTATGTGGGCATGAGTAAGCTAGGCAGCTGTGTGTGTGTGTGTGTGTGTGTGTGTGTGTGTGTGTCATGGTGGGGGGGGGGGGGGGGTTAAGAACAAAGAAACCTTTCAGCAGATTTTTGTTGACTCAACATTCTTTTCAGAGCACCAAGTACCCCCAAAAAGGAAAGAAGCATTTGTGGTTTTTCTAGAGTGCACAATGAAAATTTAATGTTTATTTTCTTACTCTGAATAGGCAACGAGAGTCACTATATGGCCGCTTGCAGTTAAAGGACACAATGTTATTAGGGTCACAGCATCTGCAAGTCTCATGTAAAGGCCTTTAAAATATAATTACTTTAACCCTGGTTTCTTCTGTATAAGTTGTAATTGTAATTATTCAGTGTGCCCCAAAGTCAACCTTGCTTGTTAAGCTCTTAAAAAAAAACTATACCATTTTTTGTTTTTTTTGTTACAGGTTCTCCATCGATCGGACAACAGACCAGGAGATGATCTTCCATATCAATCCTGTTTCGGGTGCCATCACACTAGGCAAGATTCTGGACCGAGAGACCGCAGGCTGGCACAATATAACTGTGAAGGCTGTAGAAGCAGGTACAATGCTTCCCATTTCAAATTGAGCTTCTCATAAACAGGATTTGTACATCTTCATACTGCTATTATTTATTATCTAGTGACATGTTCAGTTTGCCAACATTCCTGAAAGTTGATAAAACTACTGTAAAATCCTTTTTAACAAGTACCAGATACCATCTGAGCCAAAATGAATGAATAAGCAAGAAACACGACATTTAGATAACAACAATATACATAATAGCAATGAAATTAAAAAATAAAAAATCTTTCACAAACAGTTAATCAAGCAGCCATTTATGCCTCCTTCTCATATCACTGGCAAAACTAACGAAACAATAACAAAACTTAGATGAGGGCAGCTAAAATTGCTCTAAAAGAGAACACTTCCATGGATCAGTTTGTGGCCAGTGATGGAGACTGTACAAGTTGAATTAGCAGTCCACCATTTGCTGACTCCCACTAGGGGTGATAAGGGGTGACAGACAACCTCAAATGGCCGTGCATCATTAGCTACCAAAGCGTTTGGCACATTTTTAGCAGCAGAGTGTTGTGGCGTTTAGCTTTGAGAAAGACAGGGAATAGGAAAGTAATTTACAGCGGAAGAACAGCACTTATATGGACTCAAGAGTTTGTTGAAAAATAAAAATGATCATCTGAGAACAAGATACAGTGTGATGGAATGAAATGGATTAATAAGTAATAAATAAAAATGCCAACATCAGTAACTGTAAGTAGAAAAAAATATACTTTTTTCTGCATTTAATGGAATTTGTGTAAGATGTAGTTTTACATACTGCAGCATCCGCTGGTGCTTGTTTCTCTTGTGGATGAAAAATATATCTTTACTGTATGTTGTTTAGCATCACAGGCAACCTGCACTGAGCTGGTTTTCATGTTCTGCTAGTCCATCAAGGACTAGCACAACATATGAAAAGGACACGGTCTTTGGTGGTAGCCCCCACAGTTGAAGTAACTTTTCTGATACCAGGGTGAAAATAGAGGCATCATGTTATCGCTTATCTTAGAGCTGACAAACACATCATCACTGACAATGAAGGAAGACCTTGTATTTTTTCATCTCATCGGGTCCTTTTGTCATTGCAAAGAAAATGAAGAATGTAATATCTTGGGGGAGCTGGGAAGTTATTACTCTACCATTAGAATTAAACTTGAGAAAGGAGGAGGCCTGATACTCCCCACTTTTTCAATCTCATACAGATGAAGTGATTTTGGGATTGCAGTGAAAGCAGAGGAGATTGCATTCTGCATCTTACTGGTATCCAACATCGCACACAAGGAGGAAGAAGAAAACAATGCACATAAACAAAGCTGATTTTAAAATTTCTTCATATTTGCTCCTCTCTCACATAGCCTCAGACTGAGATTACTCCAATAATCAATACAGCCTAAACTGAATAGTAAGCAGTCTCATCCAACACAAACATTAAGACAAAATTAGACTAGAGTATTTTTTTTCAAGCTGTAATTCCCAGAGCAATTTTGGCGCTTTTGTGCTCTACCTCTTTGTGCTTGGCATTATGTCATAGGCACATTTTAATGTTAATTGAACATTTAAAGTGGCCCTAACCCTTCCAATATCAGACATAAACACATGCCTGCAGTTGATAGATAAAGCCTCTCACATTGCCTTCCAAGGAAACATCCGGACAGACAGAGTCAGTGGTCAACGCCATCGGAATTCGCATCCAGAATGTTTCTTTATCGCCTTTTAACTCACATAGTCCTGAGAGCTGTAGACGCAGGAGACAGAAAGAAAAAAAAGGAGGACATATAAAGAAAAAAAAGCCACAAGACAGACTGGAACAGAGAGGGGATGGGACTTTTGAAACAACTAGCAAGAGTAATTTAAGAAAGGACTTCATTTTCTCCATAACAATTTCGTTCTTCCCTTCCTCTGCTCATTAAGACTTGAGAGCCACAAGGTCAACTTGTCTGAGGACATTGTTAAAACTAGAATTTTGTGTCACCACCCTTAATTATTCCCCAAGTCCATTACTGACCTTTGAACTATTGTATTGCCACTGTATCAGTATTGGACAAGTGACAACAGCTTTCTGACAGCGCTTGGAGCCTGTGCCCTAGGATCAACCACGGCTACAGAACTCTGAGAAACACACTAAATGTCAATTACTGCACACGTGTCCGTGGATCAAGTAAAGATGTTTCAGTTCAAGTGCAACTGTGAGAAGACTGCACTGTGATGATACCCCACCAATCAAACATAAATATACACACTCTTCGAATTCACCCAATTAAAAGTAGCACCTGCTACCATCTCTTCCTGCAGACATTGTCACTGTAAAAGAGGAAACAACCTCTCATCTGTATAGCACTTGTCTCCCTTCCAAAGAACACAGAACCTCCTGAGTACAGGAGGAGCATTTAACTGCACTGTCACTAGCTGGCGTACTACCTGACAGTCTTCTCCATAGAAACATATCAGGGTAAGTTAGAGTGACATATAATTTTCGAGAACTGATAGCAAGTACGATATCACTGTGCAAAACTGCTTTTTTACCCAGACAGGTAGGTGGGGAAAAAAGAGCATCACCCCGAGGGCAAAAAGATACCGAAGTAGCTGGAAAGTCTTTATCTCTTGCACTGTTGCAGGGAGGAGACATTTTCTACAGCATAACTTTTTCCACTTGTCTGACACACAAATGCACACTGTTTGATTTTTATGGCATTAGAACATTTTTCTATCTGACTCCAAATGAATCACACACTTGTTTCATTGTGAAGGGAGATAAGTGTCTCTTTTAAGTCTAAGTTGGAAAATGCAAAACAAAAATTGATCTAAAGAGCATTGTCCTACTTGAGTCAAAATTAGATTAAATTTGTAGTACAGAACATGGGATGTTATTTATTTATTCGTTTTTTTATAGTATACCATCCTTGTGGTCCACTTAAATATGTGTGTTGTACTATTCCCCCAAACCACTACAAAGCTGAGTAGTAAGTGCCGTGGTCAAGTGTGCCAGTGCAAGTGGACCAGTGTACTCACTCGCTCTTGACAGACTCCCTGGTGATCATTCCCAGGTGGCTCTGGAGTTCACAAAATTCATGCTTAAGTAGTCAACAGCTTCTTATTCCTCCCTGTCTCTCACCTCCACTGCTACCTCAACAACCTGGCTTGACTAGACAGTGACACAGGAAGAGAGGGAGAGATTATTATGCATCTTTATCAAGGGAATAATAATAATTTAAATAATATTATGATTTGATATGGACCAGTATCATATTTTGCTAACAAAGAGAAAACTATTCTATTAGACAAATATGAAAAAGTTAAACACATTATCCAGGTTAAAAGCAATATAGTTGCCAAATGCAAGAAGACAGAAAATCGGCAACTGTGTGAATGTATGAATTAACAGGCTTATAATATCACAGCCACATAATTAGGGCAATGGTAGATCTGACTATAATGACATTTGTGTATTCCATTAAAGTAATGCGTTGCTTATATGTATTCTCATGGCGTGCAGCGGCTGTTTCGGTGTCTCGACATTAAAATGAATGATGCCCTGAATAGGTAGTCGTTTCAACTCACTTTAAGAACTTCTTATGACTTTAAAATAATCAGATTTATTTATTTAACACACTTAAAAATTTTCCAAACATTATTCTAACTTAACTTCATAAATAAACAAAATGAAAAATCCATTCATGCCATAAAAAGTGCTCAAACTGTGGTTGAAAGATTGTATCTCAACCACACCTTCAGTTCCAAACTCACCCGCATTACCTGCGGCCAGATAGCAAAAGTTAGGTGGTATATGACCAGTCTCTACAATATGAGAAACAAATGCAACCTAAAATTCTTATTAAACTTAAATTCAATACCAAAATATATGATCACAATATTTAGCCTAAAAAAATCAAGCCATTTCTTTTAACAGTTGCAACAGAATGAAACAGACTTGGAAACAAATAAAAAAATCAATATAAACATGTTTCAAAGCAGTAAGTAATCATACTTTCATACCTTAAGAGTTCAAGGATTTTAGTACTTCAATCTCTGTTGTAGGATGACACAAAAAATAAAATGAACCAACAAGCTTTGGCCCTTGCTTTATGGGACAGTTGTTAGCAATTAAAAAAGTAGATATGCAGTACTGTGCAAAAAATTTAGCCAGCCTTTTAATCAGCCAGGTCACACACTCTGGTCCCTGATTACACATAATTATGTCTCCCAGTGGTGGACTGGTAATCTAGCATTCTAGCATACCTTGGGGGGTATGACCAGCCACCAAGGTGCGTTATTCATATGCCAGATTACCAGTACACCACTAGGAGACATAATAAAGTGTAATCAGGAGCCAGAGTTTGTGACCTGGCTGATGTGTACTTTTGGTCTGTCCCGTTATATAATCAATCACTTGTCCTTACTGTCAGTGTAGTCGCTGGAGAGGAGGAAATGTTGAATATTCAAATAACAGTAGTTTTCTTTGCACATTTGGTAGGGTGACATAATTAATTTTTAAAATAGTTGTCATGCATAATATATAGAGTGCTTGAAATTTCTGGCACTCAAGGCCACAGAGTTGCTCAGTTGTATCAGTCTCAGAATATTGTAAAGATGAATGGTTACATAGACGTGCCACTGTCATCAGAGTTATCTAGATTTTGTTGCTTATTGTGTACCGATGTGCTTTATAGAGTAGTAGCCTTCACTGGGGATGAATATGAATCAAACTTTCTGTTGCTTCATCATCTGTCCATTTATGATTTATGATTCACACCCCACACAGTGAATTTTGATAAAACACATAGACTTGATGTATCTACCACTGGTGTACAGCATGTTATTATTATTATTACACTAATTAGCATTAATCATTTGACTGTTTGACTGAAACTGGACATCTCGTGACTGTGTCGCAGTATAATTATAAATTGATTGGTCAAGATGATTGCTGTTAGTTAAAGGTGACATGTTGACTCATTTTAACCACTAACATGATGTTACAATAATATGTCCTATATTGTAATATTTTGTCGATCATAGAAAAGGTGCCAAAGATGCTGTAAAATAATGAGGTGGCATGTAGGGGTCAGTTTATTTGTATGTGTGTCTGTGTGCATTTTATTGTTTGACATTGTTAGTCCTGTGGTACTAGTTGGCAATAGTTGGCTTCTAGCTAGCATGTCAAAGTCAGAACAAATATTCACCATTAAAGTTGGACAGAGTCCTCATTCAGATTATATGCAAAAACACCAGTGAACTGATAAAAGCAACAATATTTTTTCAATAACTAACTTAATGTCAGTGTTTGCATAGAATGTCTCTTCCGGAGGGATGTGAAATATCTTCACATGACAGCGTTTGAAGAGTTAAGAGTCTAAACTCGTATTGCACCTCATTTCCAAGACCAAAAAAGTACCACATCAATTGGATGATTCACAATTTTCAGTCACCAGGAGAGGTGTGTTGGCAGAGACACTATGAGTTTATGATTACCGTCAGTTTTTTCTGTTTTCAAACAAACAAATGTTGAAGATTTCTCTTTTTGGAAAGGGCAACTCTGGCACCATTACCTAGTTCTATAAGAGTGATATCGACTAAACAGTGTTGTATTACACTGTGAGGTGTCTTGACATCAGTGAACAAAAAGGCATCAAGTGCCAAGGAGATTTGTTGAGGAGAGTGTTTCTGCCTGAATGGTCAAAATGTACTAAACTGTACTCTCACTGACCTTGTAACACATTCATTCAAGAGGTCATTGTTTTAGCATTAACATAAAACCTTCTGTGTGGAATTTGCATGTTCTTCCTGTGTCTGCATGGGTTCTCTCCGAGTGCTCTGGCTTCCTCCCACCATCCAAAGACATGCAGTTTAATAGGTTAATTGGTGACTCTAAATTGCCCTTAGGAGTGTGAGTGTGAGTGGTTGTTCGTTTCTATGTGCACTGCGATGGACTGGCGACCTGTCCAGGGTGTACCCCGCCTCTAGCCCTATGCCAGCAAGGATTGGCTTCAGCTTCCTGTGACCCTGCACGGATGAGCGTGTATAGAAGATGACTGACTGACAAAACTTAATCACGTCACATTGTTAGCCCACAACAACGCATTCCAAGGAATATAAATCTGGATATAATTGAATAAAAAAAATCATCAAGAAACATTTCCCTCATAAAAAATGTCAGTCACCTGCTTTTGTGATATTTATGAAGCATTTATTATTTAGTATGTTTTATATAGCGTTTACACTGAGCATGTCTCTTGGTTGCTTGGGTTGATTAGTGTCTTATCTCGCAAGCTGTCTCGCTGATTTTGTATCGCATATTATGGTTCATGTTAAAGTAGAATTAAACAAAGTTGTCTGTGCTCAGTTGGTGTTTAGATGGAAAGGCTAATTGGGATTTTGGCTGGATAATGTAATAGAAATGAGTGGCAGACACTGCATATGAGAAACAATACCTGAATCTGTTGGCTTTTGTAAAAACGGGGGACACTGGTGAATCTGTGTAATACTGGAACTATGCAACTGAAGAAAAATGACCGTAATACTTTGCAGCCTCTGTGCCTAAGTTGCCGGGCCTCTGGCTCACTAAAGAGACCAGACGCAGACACCGTTAAGAACATTTCTATCCTCATTTCCCCCTCCTGACAAAAGTGACATTTTAAACCAAACTGTTTCCTCCAGCAAAGAGATGAACCATTTGGTCACAAGGAGCATGACACACACACACATGCGGGCAAACACATGCATGCAAAGACATGTGCACACACTCTCACATCCTTTATCTGTCCTCCCTGAAGTTATGTCAGTATAATTCACTGCCTGAGAGATCTATTATGCAGTCATTCTGAAAGATTCGCAACAGCTGGTGAGTGCCGCACAGATGCAGAGCATGCCAATAATCTGTTGAAATCCTTTTATTCTTCGTCTCTATCTGCAGACAGATTTAGAACAGCGCCACTTGGTCCAGATGAATGAACCTGTCTCACTGAATAACTCTTTCTCCCCATGGAGGGAGTTTGGGGTGGGTAGAGGCGGGGCATTCTCACATAGTTTCATCTGTTTTCAATTCTTGGAATTGAAATGTAAAATGTGTAACATCTGATGATTGCTGGTTTTCATTCTGGCACAGCGGGGACAGCAGCATAATGTGAAGACGAAATTATGAGAAGAGAGGCGATATCTAGCACTGGTGGAGCTCTCTGTGCATTTATGTTCTTGCTGCTCTGACAAAAAGCAGTCAATTAAAACCCTGCATTGATGTGAGGATTATGCTATTAGTTGAGACCAGCATTCTCATTAGCTGCTGTGCCACTGTTATGCAGAACTGCGTGGTGAGATGGTGGGAGAGAGTTTGAGAATTTGTCTGCAAAAGTCTGTTGATTATAGGTTTGTCTGGCTGTCTTTGGTAAACCTGTATTTTTTCTTCTATATGGCTTGGGGCCCACCTGCCATTTCTGTCATTTGCCCTGAGCATAGATGGAAGAAAGTTTAAGACACAGTGCCTCTGCGTTCACCCGTACTTTTTGAGGCCTAAAGTTTACCCTTCACATCATCTTGTGAGTGTGGACATTTATCAGTTAAAGCAAACATTTCACTTAAAGACTTTATGTCTTCACTATAAACAATAATTTAAAAAATTGTTGTGAAGACACATTAGAGGAGAAGTGACTATTGCGAACGTAGATCAAAATGTTAATTTAGTGTTTACAATTACAGCACATGCATCAGTAATATTACACTGAAGGTACTGACGGTAATTGCACTTAACTATAGTTACATAATTACAAAAATGTAAATTTATTCAGTGGAGCGCATTTTACAGCAAGGTTTTATGTGTGTATATGTTTATTTCCACCACTGCGTAATGTAGCTACGTTACATTTTCTGTAGAGTTCATGAACTGGATTGGTGACAGCTATGTAAAGTGTTTTATTCATAAGTTATGTACTCTAATTAACCAGGATATCCAGACCAGCACTTGAAGCAACCAGATCAGTCATTTGACACAGACATAATGTTCTCTCTCTTTCTCTTTCCATTTCTCTCTAACTCACCTCTCACATACCCACATGCACACCAGGGGCTTCATGCTCCCTTCTGTACTGTACATAGAGTTTTACCAAGTAAAATGGTAACTCCATCAAACATTGTCATATGATTAAAAATGGGAATTAAGATTCATGGGGAAGTCGAGTTAATTTGAAATGGGTTTTGATTGTACTAATTATATAATCTTCTCCATTCCCACTTTTACATTCTGGCCCATTAAGAAAAACGTCTTGAGAGTGCATTGTGGTGTTATTTCTTGTGTTTTATCTATGACATGAGAAATAAAATTACATCACAACATTTGCAATTTTGTCAAAGGCATTCATTTGTCATTACTATTGTGCTGAGAGGTATGCCTCTTGCACTCAGACTATTAAACAGCTAAATACTATAGTGTCATTATCAGATAGTGAGGACCTAGAGACAAAAATGGAATCTTTGGTACCATTTTCTTGTCACTCACTGGAGCCAGAAAGTGTAATGGGGGCAATTTGAGGAGGCATTAGATTAAAATCCTTCAGCACTTAGCCACACAGCCAAACCAACTACCTGTTTCCTTGTGAAAATTACATCCATCTGAGTCTTGTCTTACTCATACTGAAGACAGACAAGTAGAACATTAAGGTTTTTGCCGCTGGAATGTTATACATTGTCTATTCCAGCCTCTTGTGGCAAAATCATCATGTCAGCAGCACGTCAGCAGCAGCTGCAGCCCTCTGTCAATGTCTACACTGGGTCTGTTCAGCCAAAGGACTGCTGTGTGGTCAGTTGCATTTTGGCAGCATTAACAGCCCAGTACACAATCCCTGTAGTTACACACATCAATCTGAAGAAAATGGTGTTGCAGTACATGTGTTAAGCGCAAGTGCAACACGGGGTGTTATGCCGCCTGTGAGGACAGCTTTATTGATAAAGTAAAAGTGTATCTGTACCGTCAGATGCTGTCAAGACGGACGACTGAAAACTGTGACTGATACGCCTCCGGTGTAGACAGCCTGTTAACTGAGAAACACTCCAACCTCAGTCATTCAGTTTCCAGGCACTGGTGTTATGTGAGGCGATCTTACTTTATCCAAACATTATGCTCATTGTGATTTGCTTAACACAGTCAGTCACATATTTTGTTGTTGCAAATGCAGCTAGAATGTCATGCAGAGATATCTGCCACAGCACTTTACACTATTAAAATGTGTCTAGATGGATGTCGTTGATATGGTTTTCATTCTGTCTCTCTGTAGATAACCACACCATGGTGTCTCACTCAGCAGTGAGTATTCGGATTCTGGATGTAAATGACAATCCTCCTGAACTGGCCACACCATATGAAGCCTCAATATGTGAAGATGCCAAACCAGACCAGGTGAGATTTTCTTGATTCAATATTTAAATAAGATAACTGTTTTTTTTCACAATAAGTATTTAATCTGTTCATGACTAAAGTGAAAATGAGATGGACAAAACTCATTCATGATTTCTGTTTGCTCAGCAACAGGTTAAAGATGAATGTTGTGCTGATCAAGTTACTGTAGCTTCACAGACGGACACTCCATTTCATTAGTGGCAGGAGTTTAGGCACTTGAAAACCAAGGCAATAATATATTACATTAACATTATAGGAAAAAAATAATTTTAACAGTGCCACGAAGAAACTTTCTACTTGTGGGTAATTCAGTTTGGAAGGCATAACCAAAAACGCATACAATATTGAACACAACTTAGGCTGGACACGTTAATGCATTATTATCGCATTAACTCATTAATGCATTAATGCTGATTAGCATCGGGGAAGATGTCGGTCTTAGGAACGTTCTTAAAATCACAACGTAGTCGCTTGGCCCTGCGGGGTTGCTCTTTGCTCAGACAAGAGACAAGCGCTCCACGAGTAAACGGCAGGCGCTCTATGCTAGCTGTGGGCTACACAGCTGTAGCCTATTTAACTTAAGTTAAAATTATAGGTTAATGTTACATAACTTTCCCTCCTGTTGATGTAAACAGTAATAGATTCTGGAAACTCACAAACAGTGAGGATCAGTCTCTCTTCCAATGATTTGTGCTCCGCGTCGCGTACAAAAAGTTCAAGACCATTCAACTTCGGCAGCAGGCGGGCATGAGGCCAGCACTTCACCTCACTCTAACTAGGACACTTGCTATTGAACATAGACTGCTTATGCACATGTTATTGCACTTTTGTTTATCTAGCAGTACATTTAACTTAAAAGTGGGCAATACACTACTTTAGAATTCATTATTCAATTTTGCGCATAGCTATGTGATTAATCGCAGAAAATCACACGATTAATCACGATTGAAAAATGTTATCGTTGCCCAGCACTAAACACGACACATTTTTTGGTGTTCAAAACCCAAAGCTCTTATTGAGGTGAAGTGAGCTGAAGTGCACTCTGTGGGTAATATATCGGAACATCAATGATTTTGGATTATACACATAAATCACAATACCACTTTAGGAAGAAGTATGTGATTATGTGATTACTATTCTTAATTGTCACTAGTCTCTATTTCATAAAGCCATGTTTATAGAAGTGGTTTATCTTACCCCTACTCAGGCAGGCAGTCTCCCCTGAAAATACTGTTAGACAGAAGAACTGTTTGGATCAACATCAATGATACTGAGAACCAATGTCCTGTGTTCTGTGACCTCATTTGATTTAGACTAAATTGGTGAGTCACAAATAGCAGCATGGTCTCTGGCTTCACATATCCCAATGTTGAGAGATTCATTCTCGGCCTTGGGAACACATACAGTATGTGTGATAGAATATTTTAAATTCAAGGTTAACATACTGGCTTTTTTCAGACCTTTCAACCATATACCAGAGCCTTCTTCATGATGTCACCTGAGCAAGTTCCACTTGCTGAAGAAGGCTCTAGCATATGGTCAAAAGCTTCAGAAAAAGCCAGTAAGTCAACCCTGAGTTGGGAACATTTTATCACAGATATTTCTGTATTGATTTGTTGTCCCAGTCGTTTGCACCAGCCAGTGTCTTGTCTTTCTATAACTGCCTTATTATTTCCATAATACTGGTTTGGATCGTTTTCAATTGCACACTATTATCTCTCTGACACTTCAAACCGAAGGCAATTTATAACTCAGCTTTTGGGAAAAGGCACCATTTCCCAAAAAGTGTCAGAAAGAGAGCTAGAAACAAACTGTAATCCAAATAATATATTTATTTTCTCTGTTTTTTCATGCTGGATGCAGATTAAAAGTCAGTAGGATTAATATTGATTTCAATATTGGATTTCTGTCTATGTCAGCAATGTGGTTGTTTAAACAAAATACATCTGGGGAATTCACATTAGAATGGATACACAGTTTATATGACATTTCTGCGTGCCATTTAAAAAGTTCTTCATGAAAGACATCAATCATCAGTTATTTTTACTGCTACAAAAGCATCCCAGAGAAATGCAGTTCTACTTATCCTGGTACGTATTTTATTGTTAAACTATGCCACAAAAACAGTGATACAGCACTTTGCACAGATTAACACTAATTCCTAAATGGCAAACAGGTGACAACATTCAATTCCAGAATAATTTTATGTACATCATTACAAGCACCAATCAAACAGTGGGAGTCTGAAAAATCAAGACAAAAAGTCAATACCATGGTTATTTCCAATCCAATAGAAGGCCCAATCTTTCCACTGATCACCATTAAAAATGGACAAAGTCATTAGGGTGTTTTATTCTCCTTACATAGTCAACAGGCCCTGGGCCGAGTTAGACCCAATTATCATGTGTAGAGCAAAGGAATAATTAAAAAAGCAAGGCTTTAAAGTGGGGCCTCCACGCTGGAAGCTGCATTTACATGAGTAATGAGGCTTAGGCCTCTCCTCCCCTTGATCCACAGACTCTTAACCACTTATAGCCCCCCTGTGCCTCTGCAAAGGCACCCGCCTGCGCCTTTCTAGAACATTGTCTGGTCTGATCTCCCTCACTCCCACCTCGCTCCATCTCCCATCTGCGAGAGCCCACATTAACCTTCAGCTCCTAATCACACAGAGATGATTAGTCTTCCAGCAAAAAGATCATTGCTGGCTCCCAGCATTGTAAAGGAAAAGGTTTTTATTGAAGAGAAATGCAGTGAAATATTTCACACTGTAATTAAAAACCAAAGAAAGGGATTGGACATTGTATCACTTTAGCTATTTCTATGTCTGTCTGAATGTCTATGTTTTTTCTGTATTTATGTCTTATCTAGAAGGAGCGGACAAATGACAGGCAATATCTGACAATTTCTGTTCATTTTCATTCATTTCTTTCCTCTCAGTTTTTGAATCTCTCTTTTTGTATGGTGTTGTGGAGAGCCCTGCAGGAGTCGGCTTCTGAGATTGAATGAAAATGTGTTAGCCTTGGGTCAAAGGCTTTCTAACGCTCATTTTCAGCCTCAGGGGTAACCACTGGGGGGCACGGGGGAAACAATTTTCTCCTCCATGTTATTTTCAGAATAATATAAAAAACTGGTTTCCACTAGTTGTTGTCAGTCACTGCATCTTTACCTTTGAAAAATGGAGTTAGTATTGTGAAGGAAATGTTTTGGGCCCGGGGATTTTCTGTGTCTACCCTGGTGCTGAGAGCAGTTGTATGATTTTCTTTTCTGATTAATGGCAAGGATAGAGCCTTTCTATTGTTGGCCTTCCAGCTCAGAGAGGGAAGTGAATGAGTAAATCAACTGACTAATGAATAACTCATATATCATACATACTTCTCTACTAAAGGGGGACCAATAAAAGTTTAGGTAATGACAGGGTGTATAAGGCTGAACCAAAAAAAATAGCTTTGCAAGCAGAAGTCTAATTCACAATACTCTAAGCAAATCAGCGGCGCTGGCACTCGTCCCTTCTCTCATACCCTTTGGTCTCTTGAGAGGTAATCGACTTGTTTGGCAACTGTCCGATCAGAGCAATTTGGCCACATCAAAGCTAGCGCTTGCTCTGTTTCTTTTATTTGTGTCTTGTCGAAGGAACACCAACACGCTGTTCTTTGTGAAATGACATGAGGCAGACGTCATATACATGCACTGTAGGTCCAGGCATTTGGATCAAAGAAGATATATACTTCTCTTCATTCTGCCACTGCAGCACGGAGTGGCTTTCTGCCACTAACTCACACACCTGCAAGGGCACACACAAGCAAATATACTGATCAAGGTTTAATTTTGCCATTATGCTATTATTTATAAACAAAATTACATAAATGCATGCATAGTCATACTTTTGACTTCATGATACATACAGTAGGGGCAGAAGTCGACACTAGATAGGCATGTATTTAGGTTTGTCACGAGGCAGCATGTCAACAATGCCAGCCTAATTCATGATCTGTTGTTAGCTGTTGTACATTCTCTCTTTATTGAATCATACAATACATTTACAGTTTCAGCACAACTTATTTTATTATAATCAGAAATATATTTGAGTAGTCCACATAAACTGGACTGTGCCATTGCCAGGCTTCAATACAGGCCTGGTGTAAAATCACCAAGTGTACATTTCAAACTCAAATTAGGGTAAAGCAGAGGATAAAGCCAATGTCCTATCCCACTGAAAGAACATCTTCAATCAACATTTCACAAATATATGAATATAATTATTGTCAGTGCCCAGCCTTGTATAGAACCGTGTTCATTAGGTGTTTGGGATAAAACTAATAATGTTCAAGAATGTGACATTAAATCTTATCTCATTGTCTTTTTATCTGAAAGCAGGTCTGTTGGTCTATACACTAGCAGTGACAAACCGCATGATGAAGACAGAGACTGCAACTGAAAAATTTACATTTGGACCTGTTTCTGAGATTCTAAGATTTTGTACGGTGTTCTCTTACCTTAAAATATAAATTCAGGGGTCAAAATGGGAGGTCTCTATTGAAGCAGAGGCCTGTTGCCTGATATGTTGAAGCACTTTGATGTCTGCTGCTTCCCAGGATGCACTTATTTATTCAGTAAAATAAGCTGCCAAAGGAGGAGCCCAGAGATATAACCATCAGCCAGCAGATGTTTGCATGTAAAATGAGCTTCAATTTTGTTTCAGCTCCCCAGAATGTTGTTAATCAATTTTGAAACTTGGACAGGGCAGCAGCTCTTGGAAATAGGCATAATTAAGTACATTCTTCTTTCACCTGGAATAGACGTAAAATGCTAGCGAGCTGCCCTTCTTTTCTATTATGCATGTGCCTTCGGACCCAGAGAACACGCACTTTGCTTAGTTAATCTGGCCTCTGTGAAAAGGAAATCTGAAGTTCAGAATGGTTATGGCTGCTTTGTTCAGTGTCTAGCCTGTTTCATCTTCTTTATTGGTCTGCTACACTGGCAGAATTTATTAGAGCAAACAT